AAAAAAGGAAGGAAGGAAGAAAGAAAGAAAGAAAGAAAGAAAGAAAGAAAGAAAGAAAGAAAGAAAAAAGTTCCCTTTATTACCAATTCATCATACTGAAAACAACCCATGCAAGTTTCCACTGAGGTATAATTCATGCGATCGGCTCACCTGAAGGAAATATTGTGTTTACTTATGCAGAACAACACTTAGATGTGTTTTTACGTTATATGTTTAAGATGTCAGAACTCATTTTCCTTCCCTCACACTCCATTTTTCAGCAAGTGTTTCTTAACTCTCATAGCAATGGACTTGGACAGTGCAAGAAAAATCATCCTCGCTCAGAACATGATTTACTTTCACTGCGGCCAGTTGTGTGTTTTATGTCTTTATGAAAAAATCCCACAGGAATCATTTTTATCTAAAATGTGCTTTATCTTTTCACATCGGGGCCTGCCATTTATTTCAAGCAAGTTTGACGCCTTGTACACAAAACACACAACACCCACTCAAGTACACATTCTAAAATAAGACTAAAAGTGAGAATGTGCTTTATATGTATATGTGCAATATAGTCCAATATATTGTCCAATATGATTAAGTCTGTGTGAACTGTAGCCTCAGTTTCCTGTTCTTAGCTGACAGCAATGGCACCCAGTGTGGTCTTCTGCTGCTGTAGCCCATCTGCTTCAAGGATTGACCTGCAGTCTGTTTAGAGACACTCTTCTGAATACCTTGGTTGTAATAAGCGATTATTATTACTTCCTTCCTCAGCTTTATTTCCTATTTGGTATTTGAAGGTCGTATTGACCATGCCTATATACCTAAATGCATGCAGTTGCCACCATGTGATTGGCTGATTGCATTAGTGAGCGGTTGACACCTTGTACCTAATGAAGTGGCCAGCGAGCATATGTAACTGCATACAGAAGGTTGTAAATAAAAACCAGATGGCAAATGGCAGTAAAGGAAACAAAGCACTATAACTCCAAGTGACACTGGTTTCACATTTAAAAGTGCTGCTGGTCCAGAATCTTTCAGGATGCCACTGAAACCTTCCAATCCTGTGTGCAGCATTATGCATGTAGCTGATGTCATGCTGTAGCCATCCCATAGTTTCCCAAGCGAGAGCTTAAGCATCAGAGACAGCAGACATAATGAAAACATGTTGCTCCAGAGTTGCCCTGAAAGAGCTTGAAAGCTTCTGAAACACTGTGTTTTTCTGGGTTGTTTTTTTTCCCCTTTCTTTCTTCAACTGCAGCCACATGCAGGGCAGAAAGTCTGTTGGCAATTTTCTCTCTTTAAGTGTGTGTGGGGGTAATTTTCTGGTTTCAGGACCCAAGGAACGTTAGGCAGAGACAGGCACGCTACGCCGAGCGAGACCAGCCGACACTCTGTGTTGCGCTTTTCTATATTGTGTTCCCCCCTTAGAGTACATAGGATATACACAAGCCGTGGTGTCACGCTGACACACACACACACACACACACATACTGAACCCCAGAGCAATCATGCTCAATTTGCAGGTTGAGCTGAGTGTTCAGTGCAGGAGAAACAATCCCACTGCCAAGAATAACATCACATGGGCAGGTGACCATTAAAAATGGAATTAATCATATTCAGGATATTGTGGTATTTCTGCAAATTAATCGCAGAGATTTATTTCAATAGGAGCTCAGTGCCCAGCTTCGGGGCACTTCAGATTGACCACATGAGCCCAACAGGTGGGCAGAGTGGGCAGACATGTAGTAGAAAGGGGGGAAAGGGAGAGAGAACAGGCAAAAGGGGGGAGAGAAGTAAAAGGAATTATAAATTAAAAGCTCGCTAAGGAAGTTAAAGCTGAGGGAAATCTATTTTATGCACAAAAGGCAACTGAAGCTTGATTTACAAAGTGGGAGAGACAAAAAAAGGAACACGTGTCAGTAGAGAAAGCAGTGTGTAGGAGAAGAAGATTTACTGAGTGTGTGTGAGAGACAAAACGCATCTGTGTGTGTGTGTGTGCACGCGTGACAAATTAAAGGAAGAACTTTGACCCTTGACCCTTGCCGTTATGGGGTCTGGTGGCTCTGTTAGGGGTTGGCTTTCTTGATTCCTTAGAGGAAAAGATCAGTTTAAAACACTTGTATTCTCATGGCAGACTCCAGGATGACAATGCCACCGAGTGGTTTGATGAGAATCATATGCTTTCGCTTTAAGTCACCAGCTTTCAGTTCGGTTTAACACCAGTGGGAGATCTTTGGGCCCATGCTTTGGACAGCACTCTCCACCACATCATCAAAACACTAAATAAAGGACTATCATTTGTTAGATTGATGTTCCAGAGACTTGAGGAATCAATGCCAAGGCACACCGAAGCTGTTCTGGCAGCACGAGCTGCCCAAACACTTTACTAGAACATACTTTGTGCTGTTGAGGGTCGGCTTGTTTTTTTGGCTGTTTGTTCTTTATTCTTTGAATTTGTCAGTTGTTTGTATTTTGGTCCTGGCTGTGTCTACACCTGGGATGAAACAAAAGCCTCTCGCTGGGAACATAAATGATAGAGAGGAGCAGGAGAAATAAACCAGAGACTGGACGACGGGGAAGTGTGTGCTGTTGAGGGAAGAAAAGGAAAGTTTATATTTTAGAGTTGAGATGATGAAAGAAGGCAAAAAAGACAGGAGAGTGTAAAATGAAAGAAAAAAAGAGCATGTAGTGTATTGTCCAATTTTAAAACTAAGCTAAGTCTGAAACTTCTCCACACATTCTCCGCTGATGAAAATTTCCTGAATGTTCTTTCTCCTGTAGTCATTATTCATCAGGATCAGGTCCCTCTCCCTCATTCTCACTGAGAGAAGTGTACCAAAGTTAGTTGAGCTACGCTAAAATAATTCAGATTAATTATACCAGTTCACAGCAACACTCATCTCAAGGCACTTTGTTGTGACGTGAAGACCTGCAAGGTCTTAGAGGAAGAGCTCCACTAGCACTTTACGATGGCGGGGAGGAAGAAACAGAACCAGGCTCAGGGAGGGGCAGCCATCTGCTGCAACTGGTTTGGGAGTGAGGGGGTAATAGACCATAGGCAATAAACAGGACAAAAGGCAGTCTGGGACAAAAGTTAATGACATGCAATAGTGGTGTACAAAGGAAGAAAGAAGGGATTGGAGGAGTAATGGCATCATGGGAAATCCTCCAGCAATCTCAGTCTTTAGGAGCGTAACTAAGGGATGGTTCAGGGTCACCTGGTCCAGCATAACTATACGGAAAACTTCATCTTGAAAGAGTCTGTCTAACAAACCTTAATTGGAGCTGTTTCCACAGATGAGGGGCCTGAAAGCTGAAGGCTCTTTAAGATAAGATGGGGCCTGATTATTAAAGACTTTATATTTTAAACTTGATTCTGGATTAAACAGGGAGCCAAAACTAAGCCAAAATGGGAGAAATGTGCTCTCTCTTTCTAGTCCCAGTTAGTGCTCTCAGTGCAGCATTTTGGGTCAACTGAAGATTTTTCTGTGAAAAAAGAAAATATCTTTTACCTTTTAGCAGCTAAACTTAAAAGAACAAATATTACATCTTTATCTTTATCTGATATATTCACAATGATTCGTGTTGTAATTTCAATACTTCTCCTTTTGTCTTGTCCCTAGAACATGTTTGTTGCCTTAAGGTTTCCTCTCTTAGCAAACTTTCTTTTCCCTATGTGAATCAAAGCTGGGACGGTGTCGTAAACATCACGAAGCTCAACCATGACACATTGCTACTTTAGGGCTGTACAAATATTACTCAACTATAGAATCAATAAATTCATTACAGAACAGTCGACACAAACAAAACAACTGTGTCCACTGCAGCCACTTCACACCCATAAAACTGGCTCTGGCTGTCTGAGGAGCCCAAAGAAACAACAGCAGGTTAATGATTCACTTTACAGTCAGAGTTAAATAACACCATCGACTCTCACTTTAGCTGGACAAGCTCATCTTTATTAACAGTTACAAAGCTGTAAAAATGGACTGACAGACAACACTTACCGTACAACACAGTGCCTTTATCTTTAAATTGACTTTCATACACTTAGTGTTTTGTACTTTATCCAATTACAGACAACATTTGTGGGGGAGTGATTTATGGGACCAATAATTCACAAGTTCAAAACCTTATTGTGGTGCTGTTTAATTGCTTTAATGATTAATTAAAGACTGATTCCGTGCATAGTTTAAGGATGTTGTGCTCCTGTGGCTATGCAATGTGACTGTGACTGGAGATCCTCTGATTTCCTGAAATAATTCAATCAAGCTATTTATAATCCCGTTTTCTCAGTTATTTAATATGTACTGTATGTACTGTAGTTAACTTAAAGAGCAGTTTCCCCTCTCTCTGGAACATTATGGAAAGTTCATGTAACTTTGATTTATGCTCGTGTATTTACAACAGTCATCAGACCTAAGTTGACCTCCTGTCAGGCATTAGAGAATTAAGTTAACCATTATATTTTATTTGCTTATTGCTAATGTTTTATTATACTTCAAAAAGCATTGGAAAAAATAGAAATATAATAATTTAAATAAATAAATGTATTTAAAACATGTAAATAGTATATAGAGATTTAATTTTGGAAAAAAAACAAAAAGTATACAAAATATACAAAAATGAATTAAATACACTTTAAAAATTACTTTATTTTTGCTGATTTAGTTTACTTATCAACAAAAGTTTGAATGTTAGATTTTTACACAAATATTACAATTTTATATCGTTTTACATGTCCGGTAATTGTGGTGGATGGCATTAGATGAATCAGCTGTATCCTATCCAGCCCTGTGTGAATAATCCTTTGTTATTTGCGTTACTCAGATGAAACCAGCTAGTCTAGCTCACCATGTTACATTAACCTACTTTTTATCCAGCAGTGAGTTTGCACATTCTTTTTTTTTTTAGGTCACGCTAAGATGTTAAATTTAACAGCATAAAGTGAACAATTCCTTTTTTTTCTTATTCTCACATTTTTGTTGACTTGTATGTTTTTCTATATTTTCTTTTAGGTGGCAGATAGCATCATCTCAAAGCGCATCTTCACTGGTGAGCATCCCTTTGTCTACAGACACACACACAAACACAGACAGACACACACCTTCTCACTAACTTTTTTAATGTTCTTTGATCCCCTTCCTCCCTTAGAGGCGAGAACCATGCCTCACAATTTCAACAACTCAGGGTCAAAGTTTATGAGCCCCGTGACCCAGAGGCCATCTGCCCACTTGACCCTCAGAGACGCCAGTTCTCAAGGTGAGGCATCTGTGTTTAAGCGGTCATCATTAATCTAGGCGAAAGATTTCGGGAAGTCGGAGAGGAAAATGAAAGTTTTGCCGCTGAGCCGTATGTTTTGCATGTGCCGAGCATGCACAAAACTGTGGGTTGATTGGATAAAATCAACGATAAGCACATAAACAGTTTTGGTTCCTACATGGTGCAGACATCTGGACTGAATTAGACTAAGGAACACTGAGGAGCATTGGGAGCAGCTGCTCATGAAGTTTAAAAAATATCTAAAGAAAATAATCTGAAGAAGCTTCTCGGATGAAAGATAAAAAATCTTCAAGAAACTTAAAGAAGTCTAGAGCTTTTCTTTCCAAGCTCCTTAGATCACAGAAATGTAGCGCTACAGTCCGTGAGTGTCACGCACACCCAGTGGCTATTTTCAGATTTACACACACTACAGTCCTGTTTAGGAAGCTTTGTTTATTAAAATTATTCACAAAGAAATAAAATGTATTATTATCGAGTTCTTTGGTGCACACTGGGGCCTCTGGTTTCCCAGAAACCAAAAACATGTATGTTTGATTATTTATTTAATCAAAATTAGTGAACTGTGATGGAAGTCAACCTGTCCAGCCTGTACCCCACTTTTTGCCCAATGATAGCAGAGATTGGCTCCAGCCCTTCCACTGGTCCTATCTGTATAACCAATTAAAAAAGATGAATGGGTGGATTATTAAGTTATTCCATCTGTTAAAGTTCCAAATCACATTTTCTTCCCCATTTTCCTGTGTAGCATGTTTAGAAGCACATTAAAGTCTACTCTGCTGCTCTTTTTCGTACCACTTCCTGTGTGCCCGAGGCATTTACTAAGAAACACTGAAGTTTTAAGCTGGGTCTGTGAGGTCTACCAGTATGCTGTATGTGGCAGTAAAGTAGATATTTATATAGTTCACAGATCAGAATCACACACGTTATAAAACATGGAATTTAAAGTTGGAATGTGTTTTTCATGACTTTGGTATTGTTTCATCTGAATCGGTCGTGCAAGCTGAAGGGTGTTGACAATCTGGCAAAGCCTTCCTTATGTTATTTCCACTGAGTTGACAAAGGGTAAGAAATGTGCTGTGTGTGTGTGTGTGTGCAAGAGCTAGAAAGACTGTGTGTGTGTAAGAGGGTGAGGTTCACACATTAAGCCTGGATTTCTCATAAGGAAGTACAGGAGGAACTTTGATCCGCGATGGGTGTTTCTTAGAAAGAGAAGTTATCCTACACATGAAGAAAACTGTTTCACGCTGGCACACACAAGCTATGACCCGACTAATTACAACTGAGAGTGTAAAGAATTGAAGTCGTCACCATGACTTTGCCATCTGGGTTTGGACTGTCCGTTTTGAAGCTTCAGAGTTTGCCTTTTGGCTGTTGCCACGTTGGTTTGTTTGGAGCCCTAAGGTACCTTATGTGGACAGCAAAAGCACAGCATGCTTACGTATTAGTTAATGAAGATAAGCTTGCACACATTTTGCAGACATTAAGAGTTATGCCGTGAATTATCGCCATGTTGGACATCACCATTTGCTAGTTGTAACTGCGTCTTTCCTGACTGGTTGTTAGGGTTTCTGATAGTTCCTGGCTGGAAATTGGTTGCACGGAAGTTGCTGCACCAAAAACCTCCAAGCAATCGATTTGTTTGGTAACAAACTGCCTCAGTTTCCTGTTTTTCATGTTTGTCTGCGAATGTTTGCTAACTATTAGCTGAGCAGCAGTGCAACTTGAAAAACTGTACAATAAATTTACTTTTACATTCAAAGTAAAAGTTGCACTGCAGAGGTGCAGCCAACAAGTTTCAAAAAATGCAACTTGTACTTAAAGGCACACCATCTCCGTTTACCGTTTTCCAGTTTCAGTGCATCTTGAAGACCAAGTTGTCACGACTGTCACACAGACAACAGGTCAGTAACACACGTCTTGGATGGTTTGTTCCATACAGTAAGTCATATTCTTTTTTGGATAGTACCTGCTAAAACAGTACGTACACAATGGTGCAGTCCACTTCATTGACTAGCAGAGGTGAAGCTCTTTTGGGAAAGCTTTTCATTTAAAGTGAATGTACCCCCCCCATCCCTTCAGTATCCAGGTGGATGTGTTCTAAAATAAAAAATCACCCAGCATGGAGTTCTTATGAAGAGAAAAGCTAATGCAGTTTTTGGTATCAGGCTGTAAACATGTTTTTTAATGCAAGCCTTTGGAAAGTGACTTGTTTTTGGAGCCTCAAGTGGCCACTAAAGGAACTGCAGTTTCTCGCACTTGTGGATTGAAAATCATTTTTCAGCGTTGGATCAGATGGAAGAGTTTATTCAGTTAAGGTCTCTGTGATGGTTATGTGCTAATAAATCACAGCATTTACATTGTAGTGTTATAGACTTAAGCTTCTATTGTTGATGGCAGTGTTTCAGATTTGCACACTAGTCACACAAGTACACGTGGCAGAGGAAATAAAGCCAGCATGCACGAGAAATCACTTGTGTTAAATGTTTAATTTCTGCCATGAGGAAAACTGCTACACATGGTTCTAGTCAGCAGTATTCAGTATTTCCTGCATCTTACAGGACTTTGGCTTCAAGTTGGTGCCTCTTACCGGTGAAACAGGCTTAACCAAAGATTAAATCACCACTTCTGCTTTAAGTGGCCATTGTACAAGTTTGAATGTGCACTTCAGAGTGCCCTGTTACAGAGTACTCAGAAGGAAACTCCACATCGCCTACATTGTCCAATAGACATGGTGGCTCAACTGTGTAATGTAAACATCGTTCACCAAAATTTTAAATAATACTGTAATTAAAAGTGCTTTTTTTTAATCACAGGATTTTATCTTTTTTAACTCAGTATTTCAGATGTTTCTCAATATTTTAAGGGCTTTAGGGGAAAAGGCAAACTATTGCTCAACTTTGGCGGCTGTAAGAAAGAAGTGCACTACTCTGGAGTCACAAACTGTATTTATTCAAGGTTCATTTTGCCAGCTGCTGCCGCTTATGAGCTTTGGGCAAACACTCACTGATATGTGTCTTTGCTTAGTTTTTAAACCTGGTATTGATTTTTTTTTTATTACATCCAATCTATGATTTCTAGGCTTTAGCTGGTTTGTTTTTCCCCACTCCTTTTATTTTCCATCCCCATGTGACAGTTTTTCTTCCCTCTTCTGTTTAGAATTTGTCTCTTGACACTTTTTTAATCTTTGCCAACAGGGTTTTCTTCCTCCCTGAGCATCATGCCTGGTCTTCATCAGTCCTGCCGCCATTTGGTCCGCTCATGGGCCAATCAGAGCCTAGGAGCTCACCTGCACAACATGACCCTGTCTAATGGGAAGCTCCGAGTGCCCCAAGATGGGAGGTACTATCTGTACTCACAGGTGAGAAAGCTATGCAGATGGAGGAGATGCTCCAGGCACTTTGCCATATTTTTGTGTGTTTTAACATGACAAGTTTGTCATTAATTAACCTTGTAGTGATAGCTGCTGAATAAAGGTGTCTGTGACTGATGTATATTCAATTTTATTAACCATTAATTGTTGTTTACAACATGATTGGATTCATTATCGTAGGGTCTACCTTACAAGTAGGGTCTACCTGTAAGGTAGACTGCAGGAAACCTGCTTTTCTGTCAAAAACAAGGGCACGTCAAAGAGGAAAAAACATAAAACAAGTCACTGCATTAACTTATTTCCACCTTTGTCCAGGTGTATTTCCGTTATCCATCCCCATCTGCAAATGAGGGGGACCAGCGCAGCGTCAGCCACCAACTGGTGCAGTGCGTCTACAAGAAAACGTCCTACCCAAGCCCCATACAGGTACAGCATCTCTGTTTTCCTAAAACAATCAAAGATCACCCTGAAGTATTTGTACCTTTCAGCACTTTCATTAGCACTGGGATGATTTTCTCTTCTTTGTAATTTTTTTCCAGCTCCTGAAAGGTGTGGGAACCAAGTGCTGGGCTCCAGACGCTGAGTACGCCCTACACTCCGTTTACCAGGGAGGACTTTTTGAACTGAGGGCCGGTGACGAGATCTTCGTCTCTGTCTCTTCCCCCACCATGGTAAATGCAGAAGAATCTGCTAGCTACTTTGGCGCCTTCCGTCTGGACCTCTGAGAGGAAAGGATTGGAGAAAAAAAAGAAAGAAGCGATGGGACAATGGATGGATAAACAGATGGGCTGGAGAGCTTGGGGCCTTTTGAATATCCACTGATTGGGGGGAAAAAATGGTCCTATAGACAGAAGAGGAAATGGAGGTCTGGATCGTCAGTGTTTGCTTGGGCAGATGCACTGAAGGATGGAAGAACTGGGGTTTGAAAGATCTACATGGGTGAAGAATACTGCAAGAGGATAGTGGATTTGCCTTTCCTGCTCTCTCGATTAAGAGAAAGCAAGACTTCAAGATAAAAGACATGTGCAATTGTGAAAAATAAATAAATGTGAGGACTTTGATTTACAGTTGATTCTTAAGGGGGAATTTGCCACAGGAAAAAAATAAAATCACAACCTTCTAGGTGAAGTTCAGAAATTAGTCCACCATGCTATCTAGATCTCAATATAACATGACCCTACATGTGTGAATATGTCAGTGACCTTTTTATGGGAAAAAATTAAACCCTTGGTTTGGATTTGAAGAATTTACACAAAATAAAAACTTAACTCTCTACATCAACGGCTGCAGAAGAAAATGAAACAATCAAACCAAAGCAAAAACTTCTTTTTTAAGTGTGCGATGGGAGTTCTGTACATATGTATGGCTGAGAATGAGATTTACACAATGGACTGTGGTGATTTTAAAAGTAATTCATTTTTATTTTACCTTTGACTGGACTTAAAACCACTTGGGGAATCTAAAGACTTCCTACTTGCGAAACACTAAAACTGTGGATTTTATGTAAAGACCTTTAGTGGAGGAAGGGGATTGCCTCTGTGACAAACTGTAGAAAGAGCCAAGAGCTTTTTGAAGAGGAGTCTGCAAGCCAAGAAGAAGTGAAAACAAGGAGGGAGAAATCTTGATAACGCCAATAAGAATTAGCCCGGCACTGAAAGATTAAAGGACAGAGAGCGATGCTGTGGGTAGTATGCAGCCTGACCACTCTGCGTGGTTGATGTCTTTTCTTTCTCTTTCCCTTGATTCCTTCTCTTATCTTTTCATGTTAACTATTTTATCTATCTTGTCAAACCTGTGAAGCTGCATTATATTTGAGTTCATGGAGCAGTTATGCAACCAACCACAAAGCAACAATGTGAGAAGAAGATGACAGAAACACATGCAAATAGTCTAGTTTCACAATCACAGAGAGCATGGATTAAAGTGACATTAAGGTTGGGTTACATGGAGTTGTTGTTTTCACTGCAATGATCACTGGTTCCATAACATAAAAATCTCATTTTGGATACATGGAGTTAACATAGTTCTTGGTGTATTGCATTATCTTTCCAGGGTAGTAGCTCAACTTGAACATGGCAAAATGTGCACTTACCTAAAACGACTGCAGCATTTAGTAAAAGGACTGGTTCTTATATAGTGGACTCAAAGCAGTTCATACAGCTTGCCTCATTCACATGAGCACTTTTTTCTATGCTTTCTTTCACTGTAATTGTTGGTCTAGCTTCTGCATTTGGGGAAAGTTTAAAACCTGTCAAGCCTCTAGCAATGTCAATGCTTCAGTTAAAAAAAAAGAAAAATCCTCTAGTATAGTAGCTAACACAGAGAAGGTGGAGATCCCTGGGAGGGTTGCATCAGGAAGGGCATCCAGCCTAAAAATCTGTGCCAAATTCAATATGTGGATGCATCCGCTGTGGCGACTCGTTTTGAATAAGGGAACAGCCAATAAAAGCTTTCTCTGTGCTAGCTAGAGTGGAACATATTGTCCTTCTATTTGCTGAAAAATGATTGGTGCTAAACATTTTAACCACCATCTGGACACTCAGAATGCAAAAAATCCACACCTTAAGCAAGAACATGGGTTTAGCAGAAAAACTCAAAGGAACATTTTGATAGTTTGAATACACAGTCACCCACTGGTTTGTGGACATTCTCGAGCTTTGAGTTTAGCATTGTGGTGGTCGGTATCTTCAGCTTGCGTCTGCAAACATTTACTCATCAGGAGATTGTTTACTGAGGTCAGACTTCGACATGATCGGACCTGTTTCTGCAACAAGAGATTTGCCCCCTGCTGGTTATGAGAACGACTACAAATGTAAAGCACTTGACTTGGCAAAAAGGCTGGTTTTTAAGCAGCCTGTGCTCAGGTTAAGGGAAGATAAACAATACTTTCATTATGTAACCTCAGCTATGTTATTATTGTAGACGTCAGTGACAGTGAAAGAAATAGGGTATGGAAACTAATTTAATGCATCGGTGCTGAAATTGTTTGTTCAGAAACACAAACAGCTGACTAAAATTGGCTGACAGTCACTTAGTAACACTGGTGCATACACATAACAATTGCAAACATTATGAGCAGTTCAGAAACTGTATTCTCAAACACACTCGGATGCTACAAATCTGAAACACAGGATCCCACACCAAGTCAAGCGAACACAGCCCAAGATTTGGAACGAGTGAGAGAGGATATTTGCAGACATAAACCATCCACCGCCTAGCACAGACACAACCCCTACATGCTTTTTTCTCTGTGTGCACATAAAAAAAGTACACACATCACCTCACACTACATCCAGGCTAGCCTGTGCTATGTAGACACACACATCATCCAATGTCACATCCAGCGTGAAGACATATGCCCTGATTAATCTGGGCTGTCTAGCCTCCCTGTGCCATCTGGTAATTGTCAGTGATCTGGCATACAGCGAGGGTGCGCACACAAGAATATATGTTTGTTCAAAGGGCTTGGTTCACATAGATGATTCAGAAAATGCGGTAAAAAAATGTTTTTCACATGTGTTTATTTGCAAATGTGAGCTCCAGTTTGCTTTGTACACTTTGTACACTTAAGCACACATTTGATAGGGTAACTTCCAGACTAAGCCCCTCCTTCCCATACAGCACAGGATATCTTTGTATGCACACCGTGAAGAAGGTTATTTTATGGTGTAGTTTTGTCAGGCATGCTATGAAAACACAGCAACAGAGCTGGTTTATTTTCTACTCAAATCACAAAATGAAAGGCAAATCTCATATTGCATTAAATTACTGTTTTAAGCTCAATTTTTGCTGGGTGGCACGCACCTGCACATGTTTCTGTTGCTCTAACGCTCCCTGTGTGAAGTCAAGTTATATTCCAGTTAAAATAATATATGGTAACTTCAACAATTATGCAACATGTTAAATAATATTATAACTGTAAATCTCTATACCACGTATACAAAGTTTTCCTACCTTTTGCAGTTTAAATGGTTATTCTTTTGAGTGAAAAAACAAACAAACAGACAAACACCTTTTCATCTGCTGATTTAGTTGTAGGTCAGCCATTAACCAAGATTTGGTAGTATCTTGGTTTGATGTGGAAAGGTATTTGTGGTAAATCTAAAATTGTACTTTCTGTCAACTAAACTGTTAGCCAGACACAAAAAAGTGTGATTGCTTTGGTTGCTAGCAAATTACTGAAGTTGCCGATAATTTGCAGGAAAGTTGTAGAATTATGTGCAAAGATGTTCCATTTACTGGCCAAGCCTTAGTAAAACTTAAAAATATACAATTCAAACCAGAAATCTAGAAAGTTAACTAAGTAAAGGTTGTGCTTTGCTGCTATAACCAATGCGTTTCAAAAGATGCACCTTTTACTTTAATGGAGAACTGTCTTCATGTTGTACTTTCCTTAATTTCATTGCCTTTTGGTGACTAATTGGCAAGGGTTTGCAGACAAGTCAGTGTTTCTCATGCAACAGCAGCAATCTGCTAACAAGGTTTTGGTGCAACATCCTCTTGGTAGCCAGTTTCACATAGTGACTACCAGTAACCTCCATTAATCACTCAATAACATACTGGAGACTTCACACTTTTACTTGTTGCTGCCACAGCGGTCATTCTCTAGGCCTGTATGACTAGGGTGTAGCTGGCAATAGCTAATAGATAATTAGCTTAGATTAGCATAGGTATCAGAAACAGTAGAATTGATAAGAAGTTGCATTGAAACTTTTCAAATGTTTACTAGTAGCAGCTTTATTAAATTCACAGTATAGAAGACAGGCTATTTGTGAGCAATTAGTGAGCATTGGGAAAAGTCGTGGTAATGGCTTCCATGTTTATTTTTTTGTGCTATGCTAGGCTAACTTAGGTTTTACAATTTGCAGGCAAAAACAATGTTACAAATTTGCTCCAGATTTAACAGAAAGGATTATAAAATAACATATTTCAGCATTTAGCTGTGTTGGGGTCTCTGTGCATAGTGATTTAGTGATTTAAAATGTTTCACAATGTGTCACAGAGTCACAAGATAATAACTGAGAAGTTTATGTCACGTAAAGTCACTTTTCCATCCATAAATGATTGTCCTCTGAGATGTATTCATTACGCTGAAGCCAAAGATTTTCAGAGATCCATATGTTGCAAGTAATTGGACAGTTGTTCTGTTATGATTTGATTTACAGATCATTTCATTACATTTCTGTGTACACACTTGTTACTCCTGCTGGTTGGTTAATTAAATTTCTGAAACTAAAATGTTTTTCATGTGGAGTACCCTGCAGAGTGAGTGTGTTCATCTCTCAGCATTTCACTTTCTGTTAGATAATGTATAAATAAGGACACACGCTGCTTTAGTTTATCATTTAAAAACATAAAACATGAGCTTGTCAGCACACTGTGGGGTAATGTCACAACAAATCATCCAAGTAACTCAAAACATCTACATCAGATGGTGTTTGGTGGGGCTGAAATAAATCCAAGTCATTGGATTTTACTAGGCTGATGAGCAACAATAGTCGGTCCTAAACTCAGAGTACATTACTGGGTCAATAAAAAAAGCTTTCCCCAAACTACTCAAGGTTATCACAGAAATATTAACTAACATAATAGTAATGTAAAACAGTGACAAAAATGTTGCAACTTGAAATGAATCAAAGATTAGGTATTGCCACTGTCTAGTCTTGTGGTTGTGGGTGTTCTTTTATGTGTTGGACATAAGATGGACATAACATTCATGTGCCTTAAACCTACAGTCTTACTAATACCCAGCAGGGGGCAACTCTTGTGGTCGCAAAAAGAAGTCCGATTGTATGGAGGCCAATGAGCAAAAAGTCTAACTTTTTAACTTATCTGCAGCCACTCTAAACACATTGCTGATGTGTTTATGGTCTCAATTACTACTTTTAAGCCTTACTAAATACAAAATCGTTGCTATTATATTGGCAAGATTGAAAGTATAGTGCATGAGAAAGCGAGAGCATAAAGTTAAATTGATGAGGCGACTTAAAGTAAAACCAAAGTTTAAATGCTGCTCATCCAGCAGATGATAATTAGAAGGGTCGTATTGTGAGATAGGAAGAGTACAAATATATGTGTGGTCTGCTGTGAATCCAACACGTGTTTGGTTAAATCTGTTGGATTGTGAATGATAAAACATCACCACCCAGCGATGTTTACCTTTGTAGTTCAGTTCTTATTATTGAGCAAGGCCTGTTTTTGATGTGTTTTGGTAAAATATTGCTTTTAGTTTGAAATCAGATCTTGTCTGTTTTCCTGTGCGTGTATCTGTGTGTGTGAGTGTGTGTGCGTGTGTGTGTGTGTGTGTGTGTGTGTGTGTGGTTATGCACAAAAGTGGTTTTGGACAACAGTTGAAAGCATTGCGCTTGAAACTGCCAGACCGCGAGTCAGACATGTCCATCTCTTGCTCTCTACAAGACCTGGAAAGAGAAACTAAGCCATCACCGTGGGGCACTCTAAAATCTAGACCTCATGTAAGTCAGCGTTGAGATCTTTTCCAGTTATGCTCTTTTTTGAGCTCCCATCCAAGATTCATGCTGTGTTTATATTTTGCAAGCAGCGTGGCTTGTGGAACATAGATATATATTTTGAAGGGGAGGGCTTCACAAGTCCAGTTTCACTTTGACAAACGGGTGTCCAAACACAACAGCTTCTCCAGTCTTGGCTTTACACGGGGTGGGAAAAACACCACCTTCAAGCTCCTGTTTTGATCCCGGTGAGGATGTAGCTGTATTTAAGAGTCTGAGGTCGTGATTCCCCGACACAATAAACCATTTGGACACTAATAAACAAGCTGAATGCATCTTTTCTCATAAAACACACACTGAGAGCCAAATTTTGGAAGAACTTGAAGCATACATTTTAAATGCATAGCAACCATCTACCTTACATATCTTAACATGTTACCATAATGATTTTGCACAGAACCACAAGTGAGACCATTATATGTTATAATTTGACCACAGTTCCTGCCAGTTAGCTAATTTTCTATGATTCAAGTTGTTCCCCAGGTGCAACCCAGCCATTATATTTGGTTTCAACACCAGCTCTAAGAAACATCTGTTGCTTATTAAATAGCTGCATGTTGCAGGACACTTAAAGAAATAATCGAATTTAAGTCTATTTAACAGCTCGAGTGACTGGCAGATTTTGAAATACACCTCCAAATGTTGGCGGAGTACCACATACACAGCAAATATGCCGCAGTGCTCTGTTGGCACCGACATGAAACAACTAACTCTATCAACTCATCAGGACCAGATTAGTTTTCCTTTTGCCAGTTTTTGCAGGGAACTGACACAATGATAAATACTGTTTCGTATTATTTGGCAAATTTATTGAACACGGCAACTGAAGAGGACAAACACAACCAGATCCCCCAAATGTCTTTATATCTCCACAGGCGTACTTGTCAGAAGTCAAACATTTATATTTTATTGCAAGCACCGAAACAGCCCTCGAGGAGCTGAGGACAGGCAAATTTCCCCCACTGCAGAGGATTGGAACTGTGTACATATTTGAATATCTTACAAATAAAAGACAATCACTGTTACGCAATAAGTCGAACATATGCCAAACAAGCATCTGAAAACAGCAGAGTGCTTTTTTTAAATTGCTGCTTCTATTTCTGACTTTGATGTGCACCACTATGCAGATTTGTATCAGTTGTCACTAAGCAGCACCGCTTGCATAATTAAACATTAAATGTTTTGCACAAAAGCAGAACAAGTGCTGTTTATGCTTTGCCGGCATGCCTGTGTTTTCCAAGGATGTGAAACAAGCAATCTCATAATCAGCTGGCTGTCTAAGCTTTCGTCCAAAACCTCACATATAATTCTGTTCTTTCCAAAAATGAACACATGTCCTTTCCAATGCTAGCTTGACTAAGAGTACAAGAGTGAATGTGCTTTGAATTCCGGTGACCCACTCTACCACCAAATTACACATTTAGAATTTTTCCCAAGAAAGTAATCGCTCCATGGCCTAAAATGATGTAAACATCACTTTTACTAGTCATGGCTCAATAGATATGTAAATTAGCCCCAACCTCACCCTTTGGCTCATGGAAGCTACACTCATTTACTCACGCACAAGATTTCTTTGAACACAAACAAGAACAGCATTAGACCCCACTGTGTGAAGAAAATGCAGGGCTGAATTTGTGAATCAGACAGACCCATAACAGAGATAGTATTCTGTTCCTGCCAGTCAGAGTAGAGAAAAAACTCCCTGAGCGCATGAAAATGTTTACAGTTCCTGTAGCAAACTATCATCACAGGCAAAGAATTTAGGTGGATTAGCACTAGTTGGAAACTTTTTATTACAGTCACAGTAGTGTATTGTATTTTCCTGAAGTCGGCTGCTGTGGTTTTCACTCCTCTTCTCCACTCTGCGTCACAAACACAGTCTAGCAGAGGACACACTCGGTGAAACAGAGAGCAACTAAACAGCAGCAGACTTACACTGAGCTGAAATGAATCAAGTGCACATAGACAACATAAATCTTAGACTTCATTATGAAACAGCTTCTAGTGTGTTGTTAGTGTTAGATAAAGCTTGTTTCCAATTCCCCACTCTGACAAATCAGCTACATTGATGATTACACTACAGTCACGAGGCGGAGATTTTCGTTCATGATTGTTTCTGCTCATATATGTCTTCTAGTTTATAAAAAATGACATGTTAATACACTACAAACTGATTCTCATCACAGGGATCACTGAAACAAACAGTTCTCCATTAAAGCGGTTTATGAATGTAGATACTGTTCAACACATATCCTTTTGCTTTTCTTAAAATCACATTTGATACCAACTGAAGAATGTACATGTAAAGTTCTGCTGATTGCCTTGTGCCTTTTAAAAATAATGCTCTTCTGTGTCGTTTTGTGCTCAAATAAAGTGCCTACTGTCAAACAGGAATATTAGTGCCAAGTTGTTTGCTTTAAATAGAGATGTAAGTGACTGTGTAAGTGAATGTGGCATGGTTGTTGCTGTCACATGGGCTGATCTGCTGGGATGTTTCCACATAACCATCTCTAGGATTTACAGAGAATGGTCTGTAAATGCCTTCTTGATTTCAGAGGTGAGGAGAATTAACACATTCTTACTCCCAAAGCGTAACATTTTACGCTAGGCGACAAATCGTCGATATATTACGATATATTCTACATTACGAGATCAGAAAAAATGAAAATGTGAGAACGGTTTGGAATGAATCTACACATGTACGCTCAGGAGTGAGAACGTGCTGGGACAATGGCCAAACTCGACAGGAAGGTAACAAAAAGCATTCGTTATGGCCAAGTTATGCAGACGAACATCTTTGAATGCACAAAAAACTTGAAGCAGCCATGCTACAGCAGCAGAAAGCTACAGCAGGTGCCACTCCTGCCTGATAAGATAATAGCAGCAAACTGATGCTTCAATTCACACAGGCTCACCAAAATTTGGACAACAGAAAACGTTGCCTTGTCTCATGGGGGTCGATTTCTGCTGCCACATTTAGATGGTAGGGTAAGAATTTGGTGTAAGAAAATACAAAAGCATCATGTCTTGTATGGATGGTATAGGTTGCTGGTGTTATAATGGTAACACCAGCAACCTATACCAATTGTTCATTTAGGATCTAAAACTCTTACAGTTGATTGTTCGGTTTGTCTTGAAACAACAGACCCAGTTTCTCAAAGCTATCTTGCCTGCCACTATGATCGGCTGCAGACGTAAACTCTTTGGCACTGTAATTACAAGATTTTAGTGTAATTACAACACATGTTTACTGTGTTCAGCTTATGTTTGCCCCTTTTCCTACAACTGCTCCCTCTGTCCAACTGGTTAAAAGGTTAATCCAGAACCAAGGCTCACCTTTGTTCTACGTCTCAACACAGGAATTTTATTGAGGATATCCAGTAATTTGTAATAATTGCTGACTCTATCAGTAATTTTAACCCTCTGTGAATTCAAAATGTCTCCAGTTTGTCAAGTACAAATTCCAACACAAATTGCCCACCATAATTTCCTTACGATGGTCTCTTGATAATACTGATCCTGTGCAAACTGAGCACTTTGTAACTGCATCTGTAATTTGGATTTTGGCAGGATACTTCCATTTTCATCAAGGGGAATACAGCCACAGAGGTGAAATTAATGACCAAAGGAAATTTTGGTTTTACTTTACAAAGAAATCTTCAACTAAAACTTCTGTATCTGAACATGGCATTTTACAGTATTGTGCAAACGTCTTGGGCGACCCCCTATTTCTTATATTTTACTAGGAAAATGTGTGTGAAAGTTGATATTTGGTATGACCACCTTTATTCTTTAGCTCAGCCTGAACTCTTAGGCAATCATTGTTGTAATTTCTTGAAGCAGTCTTCATGAATAGTACTCCAGGCTTCTTCAAGGACATTCAAAACTCTTTGGATGTTGGCTGCCTTTTGTTCTGTTCTTCGTCAAGATGATCCCACAGCCCTTAAGTAATGTCGAAGTCCGAGCTCTTGGGAGGCCAAACCAGGACTGATAGCATTCCATTGTGTATGTTTCTATTCAGGTATGATCATTGTCATGCTACAAAAATGAAGGTGTTGCCAATCAGATGTTTTCCAGATGGTATTGCACCGATTTTCATTCCAGTTCTTGTGTAATTCGTCATACCTCAGCCTTTTCTCCCTGTTTCCCTTCCGGCTTTTTTACAGCCACCCTTCCAGTGAGACCATTTCTGATGAGAGTTCAGCAAACAGCAGATGGGTCTACTGGAGGGCCAGATGCTTCTCAGCTCAAGAAATGGTTTTCTGTTATGTGTAAATGATTAATAGTTCAGTGTTAACCAAAAGAAAAATCTGAAAAAACATTCCTCCAGACTGAAAATGACCTTATTTTTTGGACAAAAAGCTGCACTTAAAATACTTCAATTTTCTCAAAAATCGACCGTGCGCCTTATGTATGAATTCTGATTGTGTTTACTGACCTTGAACTGATTTTACATGGTACACCAAGATCAGAAATTTGTCAAAAAATGTTTTAGTACGACTTTGGTAAGCTACGAAGCTGCACCACTTGATGGACTGTTGGAGTATTACGGATACTGTAGTCAGGAGCCTCCCAGGTGTAACAATCAAGTTTAACATCCAGGCATCCATGAAAACAGAATTTATGAAATTTAACAGAGTTAGAAGTTAGAAGAAAGTCTGGCTGCTTGGAAGTAAGATATAAAGAATTAGGGACAAGAGATGGCTC